ATGAACATTGTCTTAGAATCAGATTAATTGAACAGTCTTAGTGCTTTCAGCTCTGTGACTCTTCACGGTGAGAAACTTAAACCTTTAAACTCTCATGTATTAGAAAATTTAGCAGTTATTTTGATGTGGCATGGTGTCTGTGTGAAAAAGCACTGCGCCATACTGGTACTCATTTAGGGCTGTGCCTTGAGATTGCTGCTCTTTCACAGGCTGTAGTTTCAATAGCTTATTAAACATAATGCTTCAGTAGCTCTCAGTGAACTATAATGTCATCCACTTAAAAGAACTTACTGCAAATCGGGATTTAGAACTGGCACCAGAGAGAAAGAGCTGAATGATGCAACAGGAAGCAATAGAAAACTGATCCAATCCTGCAGCAAAATTAAGGGACAAGTAGTGACTTAATGCATTGCAAGGTGTGATGGGTATCCTCAGAGTGGCCGCGTTAACACTGAAGTTTATGCTGATTTTCAGACTAAACTCTTGCTGATACATGTTCATAATTTTCAGGAAACTTTTCTTTCAGCTGCCACTATCTTCATACTGGGTCTCGGTTCCAGTATATTTTAGGCTTCTTAGCAGGTAGTAAACACCTCAGGAGTCGTAAGTATTTTACTGTTCACAAGTTGAAAACTCTCTGATGGAAAGGGACTACAAACAAAGCATGTAGAGAAAACTCCTTTTTGAGAACCTAGTTCGGCACAAGGGCTGGAGGTTTTCAAATAAAAGAACTCGTAATCATTTCTAAAACTTCTGAAAGCATTTGGTTTGTCTCTGCATAAATTTTAAGAATTTGTAATGAAAACTTGTAGTAAAAGACTCCAGTGAAATACATGTTCTTGCTAGTAATGCAACAGGCAAGATTTTCAGACCTAATGGTGAAATATTAATTGAAACAGTTTGCTACACTGAACTGGTCACCACCTAATGGTGCTCAGATTCATACTTTTTATGGTCTACTTGTGCTTAGCCTCCACAGCAGAAGAGGAAGATAAACCCTATTGTCTTTAGGGAAAAAGCTTCCAATGTCATCTTACAGCCCAAATGCAAGAAAATTTTAATGGAAAATGCAGCAGAACATTGTACTCAGCCCTCTTCTGACCTCCCAGGCGTATGGTTCTGGTTGAATCTTGGGATCAAGTAATGATTAGAAGTGCAATTTTTTTAAAACTGCATGTGACCTTTAAGCATAAGACCTTCTCTGAAGCCACATAGGCAAGTGAGTCACGCTACTGGTGTCTGATGGTAGCAAAGACAGGCAGACAAAGGTGCTGTCTTTGCATAAGGTGCATCAGATGGTATATAGGAATAAGATAGAAAACAGGATTATAGACTATTTTCTTTTTTTGTTCTCCTGCTAAATTGGTGATCTGATGAATAATATTACTGGAGGTTCCTCTAATGAACTCATTTCCCTTCTCTCTATTGCTAGAAGCAGTTTCCTCTTTCTGCTTGTCTTGAGGCTCTTTTCATTGTTAATTAAACAGCACAATGAATGATTTGCTCAAATGTGCAGAACACTGTATGGATGAGATTTTTTTCCCCCCTTACTGCTAGGCAAAAAACTGCTAGGGAAAAAACTTTGCCATTCTTCATAGTAATGACCCAGTTCATAGTGATATTCCTGAGTCTAGGCTATGGGGAAATAAAACTACAAGTAATTTGGAATGAATTCCTGTATTTCACACAGCTTTGTATTGCAGAGTGGGTATGGACAGTAAAGCATCTTGCATCTATTTGTATTATTTTTTGCCTCTTACTAGGACAAACTTGTTACCGGTTCTCCTGTTTCTTCTTGTGTCTCATGCATCCTCAATTCACAGCAAACTGATATGTTACTTCCGTGCTTGGGGAGAGATGGAGTAGCCTATATAACAGATAGAATCATAGAATATCTCAAGTTGGAAGGAACCCCATAAGGACCATGAATTCCAAGTCGCTGCTCCTCGCAGGACTACCTAAATCTAAACTACATTACTGTGTTGTCCAGACACTCCTTGTGCTCTGACAGGCTTGGTGCCATGACCACTTCCCTGGGGAGCCTGTTCCAGAGACCAGCCACCTTCTCTGAACCATTTCTGTTACAAGCGTACCTTCACGTCCTGTTGTCAAACTGTACCCTGGAATGTTGTTGGGGTTTTTTCCTATTTCAGTTTATCACTAATTTCAGGCCAGACAGCTTTATAATTATTCTGATGATAATTGTATGTGGTTTTCCACATCACAAAGTTTCTGTGTCTGTCGACCTCTTAAAAGGTGGGTTTAGGTTAGCGGCCAGAAGCTGACTAAGTGGAGGTTGCTGGAGCCTGCAATAAGTGGTTCCTGTAATGTAGGGGGAAGTCTGTTCCACTGCTACCTGAGCTGTACCAAGCCTGGAGATAGATATGGGGCAGACAGCTGCTTTCATGACCACTATTTCCACTTCTGTCACATGCACCAATGCCACAACTAAATGTTTAAAAGTAAAATCTTAACTGTTTATTGTGAAGCCAGGAATAGCCTTGCATTCACTGAGGATGATGATAGGCCATGTTGTTCTCCACTGTACTGCAAAGTTCCCTGCCAGCCTTTTGTGAACAGCACCAAGGAACTGGAACGAGAACAGCTTGTCCGTGTTTTCCATGAGGCCTCATAAAATCTGTAAAATGAGAGGAAGAATAATTGCAGCGAGACATCTCTAGAGCTCATAGATGACTGAGAAGTAATGCATCTGTCTGGCCATTAGACACATGAAAAGCCTCTGCTTTCTCTTACATGCTCAAGCTGTGAGTCAGTATGAGCAGATTGTTTACAGTTTATTCACAACATGGAGTTGTGAACAAAATTCAAAACATGTGTGAGCATTCCTGTTCACACCCGAAGTACAAACTGACTTTATGGCTCTGCATATTACACTTTGGCACATCTAGCTGTTGTAAGGATGCCAAGACTTTTTGTAGGAGTTCATTGTTAAAAGTATGCACAAAGCTGTTTTAAAAATTACTTCCAGACAGTTCAAGAATATAGAGATGAATTCATAACAGAAATGGATGGTGTAACCCTAATGCACAAGAAACAGTTCTTCAGAACTGGTGCCTTTTGGTTATCTGTAACAATTCATTTTAATCAATGGCTAAACACACCAGCCCATTAAATTTCTGGGCTTTGCATCGGTTCAATGTTAAATCGTTTCTGTCTTTTAGGTCCGTCTGATGTGTCAGCAATTCTGAAATTCAGTAGGAGACCCACATGTCCTGATGCTTCAGTAGCAGCAACTCTACCAACACCTCCTGTACCAAGGCACAGGAAGAGTCACAGCCTGGGAAACAAGTGGGTACTCCAGGCTGTCTCATGCTCAGGCAATCTCATGCATCACAAAGGTTTCAGATAGCAGCAGAATGCTCTGGTATTTGAGAACACTGGTATTTCTCCCTTCCATTTCTTGTATTGCAAGAGTGCTTCAGGCTTTACTGTGTATTCTCTAGGTTTTCTCTTGATGATTTGTTATTTTTGCTGACTGTTCTCTGCTGGTGCCAGGCATTGGCAATGCTTGAAAGCTGTGAATCCACTTTGGTCTGTGGATTCCTGGTGTGCATAACTAATTTTTTTTTTTGTTTTGTTTTTTAAACATCTTGTTAATATGTCTAAGGAAACTTACTAGCTGCTTGGCATACCTTATCATTCAGGAAAGTTGTGGCCTTTTGCACTGTTTTACCCAGGTAATATGGATTAGAAACATTTTTCTCTACCATTTACCCAGCTAAGTGAGAGCACCTGCTTCCCAGTTAAGGTTTCAGCATCTACCACATTTCACAGTTAGTGGGTTAGGGAAAAAGAAGTTCATGTGGCTTGTCCAAGGTCATAGTGTTGATGTGTTAGTTCAGCTTAGTGAAGGACCACTAAGCCGTGGCTTAGCTGGGGTCTGCTTTTTTCTGGTTTTCTACCTTTGCCTCTACCCAGGGTGTTCAGGTTTTGCATACAGAAAAAAACCCTTAAAACTTCACATCTGCAGAAATTTAATAATTGTTACTTCCAAAAAAATCTCAAACTCATTTTGGTAGTCAAGGAGCATGTGTACTGCAGAGGGAAAGTGTGAGCAGCACTGTTTAATTGCCTGCTACTTAATAACCTATTGATAAGGCAAAGTCTGAGTGGAAATATCAGGAGGCAAGGATTGCTATTAGATGACATAAGAAGGGTTTTGCATTTTTCTCTTTCCAATTTTCCAGCATGATGTGTCAGTTCAGCGTAGTGGAGAGCAAAAGCGCAACCTTCCCGACGGAGAAGCCGCGCCACCTCCTGGATGACAGCGTCCTGGAGTCGCACAGCCCGGCCCGCAGCCATGTGCTGAACTCGCTTTTCACCAATGGCCTTTCCATAGGTAGTCTGTGAAACTCACAGAGACACCCAAAAGTAGGGGATTAGGAAGATAGTTAGCTCCTGTGCAAAGACTGGTCCCTTCCATGGAAGCAGGTAGATCAGAACAGCTACTCCACTACCTAGTCAACTTTATCTCAGCTTTCCTCAGTTACCCACTGATGGTTTTGGTAAAGGTGGCATGAAGGAAGATTGTCTTTGTACATGCTCTGTATGTGACAGAGTGTTTGATGCCCTGTATGTGACACAGGTTTCACCAGGAAAAAAAAAATGAAGTGCTACTGAAAAGCAGATATGTATTTTGAAAGCTACCTTTTCACAAAGAAAACTTTTTTAAATTTTAACAATATATTTTAGAAGATGGGAGAATAGTTTAGGTCTACTCTCTGAGACTTCCAAAGAAACATAAAATGAGCTTGTGAAATAGGAAGATGACAAATTACGGTGTTATAACTCAAAATTATTATAACAAAAAGTGATCAAAAAATCTGTATTGTAAGCAAGAGAAAGCCACCTTTTGAGTGACTCAGGCTATTTCTAGAATAGGAAACAGACTGTGAAGGGTATCAACTTACTTGACCAAGAAGAGTTTGACAGTGAGATTATCTTTGAACTTCTGAAAATACAGGCACAGCTCACTCTGTTATACTGACCCTTAGAAGATCAGTCCTGGGCAAATTAAAATGGTGAGCTAAGTATCTGTGCCAGGGAAGGAGGGACAAGGTCGTGGGCTTGGAGAAGAAATAGGGACTACCATTGTGAATACCATCATACTGATTTGTTATGGCTCCTAGCAGCAGCATACAGCTGGCATATCCTCTGTTACAGGTGTGCTTGCTTGTTGAAAACAAACAATGACGTCATGTCTAATAACTTTAATTGACTTACAGATGTTGTGGTAGAAATACTGTCTTAGAAAGTAATGTATTTTGTGTTCCTGAAGTGCTCAGCTTTTGAAGGAAAAGCAGCATAATGAAAATTAAAGCAAAATGCAGGTGTCTGGTATTTAAACACAGCAGTAATGATGACTTCATTATCAGTCAGATACTATAAATGAGAAGGCTCATGTAAGCCTCTTCCAATTTTAGATTTTACCATGAACTCTAAAGACTTCAACTTTGAAACATGATTTGAGTAAGCAATTTCCATGGTACTATATAAAGATTATTCTGGTGGTCCACATAAATTGGCTTTGTATTTTCCCTTGGGTGGTTTTCTTACTCCTTCTCTGTACTACTCTTTTTCTAGATAGCAGTGAAAGCTCAGAATTTAGTGAGGAGCTGCCGTCAGGGCTTGAAAGGTGAGTTAGTCTTCATGTACACTCACTGAGCACTCTACAGGCTTAGCTAAGAAATTCACGAATGATCCCTAACATAGGTAAGCCCTAAATCAATAGTTATTTTTATCAAATTACTGATTAGTTAGGAAAAAAATGGCAAACTTCTTGAAGTAAAGCACTGTAAAGTTATTGTGGTTTTTCTTCCCATGGAACTGAAAAGATTGGGAACAATCTCTGTCATGTTTACTAAAACCTAACTGTTGAAGTCTCAGACTAGAATTTCCCTCATCAGATATTTGCATTCACAAACAGGGGTCGTTTATATGCCACGCTGGGGCCTAACTGGAGGGTACCGATCCGGAATTCTCCTAGGAGTCGAAGCTGTGTCTACAGGTACAGTTTCAGGGTCTGCCTTGCTCAGTGTATGGTGCTAAACTTTCATTTGGGTCTCTACGCTTTACTAGGTAATGTATTTTGTGTCCAATCTTATCCTTGTAGGACCACATCAACTCATGGGAGTCTTCCCCTCCTGCTTGTAAAAATTCCTATTAATGCTAAAGCAGGGGTGTGGCCCATTCAGATTAAATTCAGTTTAGCTATTGATTTCACTAGTTATATCTGGCTTCCATATTGCAGAAAACTAGTGTTTACTTTGGGTTTTATGACATTACAGAAGCAGGTTTGTCATGAAGGCCGTCTTTGCCTTCTATGATAAATAATGCTGTTAGAAGCATACCTTCTTGACCCTTTCTCACAATTTATTTCCTGATTTGCAGGACAGCTACCCATAACATCTGTTTGTGTTAGAGAGCTATAGTATGATGTGTTGGTTTTGTGCAGTAAAGAGGTGTTACTTTGGACCCCAAGTAAGAGAGGGAACATCTGTAATGACATATGTAGCAGGCATTCCCAGTGTTGCTAGTCACTAAGAACTAAGACATGGACTTTTCAGAAACAGGTAGCCCATTTCCAGTCCAAAGAGAGGTGATGTGAAAAATGGTATACAGAAGGATAAAAATCATTCATTGCATCCATACCTGACCCGGACTTGATAAATTCTGTGGTAGTGGGAAGTGAAGAAATATATATGAACAGTAAAGAAAATAGGGCCCTGCAAATACTGAGATTTAGTTGGAGTCTAAATCTAGTCAGTTTTATTTTGTATAAGTTAGTTTGCTTCAGCCATTGCTAGGGATGTTGATATAATGTGTAAATGTAAGTACAGCTGTTTTGCTTGAGCTAGCAACATCTGATAGCAGCACGGGTTAGAAGTTAGACAGGAATAAAAATGCATACATTATAAATAAGTAAAGGAATATATTTTGGAACAATATTTTGGCTATTATTCCTGCTTCTGGAAAATACGGTCTTAACACGTCCATGGTAGATTTCTCTCAAAAATGTGTACAAATAGAAATATAAAATATAAGAAGATAACAATGTGAAAAACCCATTAAATCCACAAAGAAGAATTTATTCCCTAAAACACATTTCTTACATTTATCCACTGTCAAGTAATTCTAATGCTTGTGTTCACTCTTCCTTTTCTGGAATCTTCTACTGCTTCTGTCAGAAAACTAGAATTGGCAAGAATACGCATTAGCACAGACAAGGCAATTTGATTTAATTGAAGATGCACCTGCCAGCTTGAAGTGCTGTGCTTGCAGAGGTTGTGTTGCTGTGTATATCACTTTCACCAGCCTGTGTGTATATGACACCGTCATACTTGTTCATAGACAGAATAGTCGTCCTTTCACAGCTGAATGGTGTATCATGCGCGTGTCTTTTTCCTTCTGTTCAGTATTAGACATGATTTAGCTGGCTCCGGTAAACTTCATTGGCCCTTACAAGTATATCAGGGCTGTGATCACATGGCAATGAAGAGAGGTTAGCAGCAGATAATTCTAACAGATCATCCCCTACCAGTCAGTCTGTGGTCGTTATGTTCTTAATGGCTGTTTACATTTCTAACTTAGCCTGTACTTGGGTTCTTTCAGTGTAGCACTTTTTCACTGTTGTGTGTGGGAATCTCTGTGTTCATCCTGGGAAAGGAAAAAATACTTTAATCACTACACAGTAAATTATTTGGCATTGTTATATAGTTTTCCCAACTTTTTTCCAATTAGCCAAGGTAATTTCCTGCATTCTTTTTTGATAGCTAAAGTTTATTTTAAGATAAAATTACATTTGTGGGAGCTCTTGATGCCAAAATTTTAAGCCATAAGTTTCCAGAAATCCAGATAATTTCTGTAGCTTACCAGAATGAAATAGAAAATTGCCTGTTTTCCCTTTGGCTTTGGACCTCAATTGTTGTAATAAAACCCAGTTGTTTTGTTTTATTTTTTCATGTTTAAGCACCCAGAATTGAACCTTTTGTTGATTTGCTGTTTTTCAACGATGATGGTTTTACTTGATATCTAGGTTAGACGTTATAGAGTCAAGTGTCAGATGATACAATATATGTAAGGCAGTGCAGGAAAAACACATTCAGAGCTAAATTATATTGCTTGCTTCTTGTCCTTATTTGTCTGCTTAAATACATATAGCAATGTTTTTGTCTCTCCAGCCCAACAGGGGCCTGCAGCTGCACATTAGGTAGTTCCACAGGAGTCATTACCATGGAAGGGCCATTAAGAAGAAAAACATTGCTCAAAGAAGGCAAGAAACCTACTGTAAGTGATTCTAAGTCTTCCTGTGATTCTAATTCAGTAGTGGCTGTTTTAATTTCCAAGATTATATTAATCCTGCAGTTTGATAGCACACAAAACAATGTTCCTTGTTATTATCAATTGTAAAATCATTTTCTGTTCAAAGTTTTAACTGAGTTATAACAGGGTTGTAACTTTTGTATGTCATTTGATCTACAGCAGTTTTGTTTCTCGCTGCATTTGCAAGTTTTGTCTCTAGGTTGTGACAGCAGAGCAAGAGTAAAGCAGCTCTATAAATCAGCATGTGTTTCTGTGAGGGCAGAAATTCATTATCGTGGTGAAAAGGGAAGGCTGCAGGGCATCCACCCATAGCACCAAAGTCATGGTAATTCATACTTAACCTAAATTCACAGGTTTCATGTCGTTCTGGTCCTATGCATTTGGTAATCTTTTGTTTTCTGTCAAGTTCATTGACATATTTTATGTGTAATCCTACTGTTCAGTGCTAAAAGATTTGAAGAATTGCAGCGGTGTCATCTCAATAAATTTTATTGATCAAGTGCAGAAGTCTAAGGTCTGTCCGGTAGAAGGCAGCACAGTATTTTGCTGTGAAGCGGTCAGTCCTGACATTTTTATGAGATACCCAAGTAAGATGGATTGTGTTCACAGCCATCCATCCAAACTTAGGTAGCTGGGCTGATTCACACCTGGAGACACTCTTTATATGACTTTCCGTTCCTTGCTTCTGAAATGGACTTGGTAGCACTTGGACTTGCTTGTGAATAGATTTTTGAAATGTCAGAGATAAGCAGAGTTTTTCCTAATTATTTTCCTTTCTGATTCAGCTCTCCTCATGGACTAGATACTGGGTTATGCTTTCAGGATCAACTCTTCTGTACTTTGGAGCAAAATCTTTAAGAGGCACTGAAAGAAAACATGTAAGCTTTAAATTTATTCTAAAAACAAAAAATGCATATTCATAAGCAGATCTGGAAGGGTGTTTAAAGTGTACTTGCTGTTCCAGGCTAAGCCGTATGTCTGCACAACTTTGACAGTCAAAAGTTAATCCCTAGTACAGTCTCAGCTGTGCCTGACTTGTATGTCTCTTCCAGTATAAATCTACACCTGGTAAAAAAGTCTCCATTATGGGCTGGATGGTGGCACTGCCTGACGACCCTGAGCATCCTGATATTTTCCAGCTAAATAACCCTGACAAAGGTAGGTGTTGCAGGATGAACATTGTCTGCATTATATTTCTGTGACCAGAAGTAGATTAATCTCTATTAACAAGTTTGTAGAACTTGCAGTGACACTCATTTAAAAGACTGAAGAGGGAGGTTTTCAATACAGAATTTTCAAGGGAGTGTACAAATGAAATTGAACATACTTCTACTATATGCTGTGAGGCTGCTATGGTGCCCACAGAGGTATTGCTGTATCTTGCCAGTTACTATAAGTTTTGCAGAAATTGCCCAACCAGCATGAGATTGCTGCATGTCCGTGTGCCCGCATACCCTGATCTCTGAATAGCTTTCTTAAATTCTATCAATATCAAATCTTGACTTACACTGAGGCCAATTAAAATATTACACAAATTCTTCAAACGTCAAACCATTTACCAAAAAAATCCTTTTAAGTAATTATTAATTACTTTTTAATAATTAATTTTGAAGTGGCAAAACTATTCCATCTTGATTAAAGTTCAAAAACTTCAAAGATCAGAAAGCCCCTGGAGTTGTTTGCACTTTGAGTGGTTACATAAAGATTTCTGAGGCTTCCTTCGCTTTTCACATTTTCAACTTTGATGCTGGACATGCATTTGCATCTACTGTGCGAAGCGCATCTCTGGGTGTTGACTAAAATGCACAAAGTATTTGATTGCAAGAAACAGTTTACAAAATAACGAGGCATAGAGGAAACTTGCAATAGGGCATTGAAAAAGACTAAGTTCACAAATATGAAAAACATTCATAAGAAGTTTGGCAGTAACCACAACAGTCTTAATGAGAAGAAAGCCATGAGTAAATTAGATGCGACCTAAGTGGTCTTTTCTGTGGTTGTAATTTGGCCTCTTTGCCTTTACGCTCCTCTTAGCTTTGCAGTCTGCATGTTCTCAGACTCCCTTCACCCAAAGACTGTTGGATAACATGCCTCACATGGTCTCTATTATCCTGTTTGAAGACTTGAGGTGCAAATTAATTTAACAGTTTACTTGAGGACTTTGGCTTCTGCACAGAAACTAGAATACCTTGAAATGACAAGTCTGTCTGTAAATCTAGAGCCTTTGATTTTCTTATTTTTGTAGGCAATGTTTACAAGTTCCAGACTGGTTCAAGGTTTCATGCAATATTATGGCATAAGCATTTGGATGATGCATGCAAAAGCAACAAGCCTCAGGTAAAGTGGTGAAACTTATTTCTACCCACTTTTTCATCTTTTCCAGAAAATCCTTACTAGAAAAGATATCTCTTTTCAATCTGTGTGTACACACAGTCCTGTGGGGACAGACATAATTCCTCATTTTGTACATTGATCCAATTTTTCAATAGGAGGAATAAAAAATATTTAAAACTACAGAATTCCCACCAAATCAGGATTTGTGCAGGTCTAGCTATAAGTTTGGTTACCTTAATAATATATAACCTCTACACTCACTGCTTCAAGTGAGGTAACGCCATCTCTACCTCAGAAGGGGCTTTATCCTGGACAAAGACAGCAAACATGCTAGCATTTACTCCAGTGACTGGGTCTATAAGTGCCATTGAAGAGTGTGTCCTATAAAATGCTGTTTGTTCTTTACACAGCAGCCTCATTCTTCTCTTGAGGAAAACATTCATTCTTAAAAGGATTTCCAAAGGTTATATTAATAGGATGCTAATCCATATAGGACCTAAAACAGGATGCAGCTTGAGAATCTTCTTTACACACACACATCTGCCCCCATGCATACTGATGATTTCGTAGAATACTTTGGCTTAGAAAAATCATTTGAGTCTTTATCTTTCCTTTCAGTTATGGGGTTAGCTCTCTTTTGGGCCTGTTTGGGACTGATTACACTTTTCACATTGGATAATAAATTATTAGCCCACTCTATTTTGTAACCTTGCAGTTTCCCAATGCTGTAATGGGCTCAGAAGCATTATACTGCTGAATAATTTACATTCTCTTCCAGGTACCTGCTAATCTAATGTCATTTGAGTAATTTGGTCTCCAGCCTGGTGCGACTTCAAGTGCCAAACTGAAGAAACAGGCTATTGTTCTCTAAGGAGGAAGAGGAGAATGGTTTTCCTAACATGAGCCAGCCACGAATATTTCAGCACTTTCCTATGTAACTTGAAAGTGATTCTGACACAGCTTTTAAAAGCAGAAAGTGAATGTTGTCCTTAGGACCAGATGTAGTCTCATACACTGAGTGAAAGCAGACAAGTTAGATGGACAGAAGATTAATCCTGACTCCTGCAGGATTCTAGAGCCCTGAACTTTTTGTGGTCAGAGACTGCCAGGAACTGATGTTTGACCACAAACTGACCATCATATCTTCTGCCTATTCTTTTTTAAATGGTTCTTTTTATTGTTAAGCTGCTTTGTGTGACTGAAGAATATTTGGCCCATGTTGGGTTTCAATTCTTTCTAATGCACAGAATGATTGACAGTGTTAACTTGCTGCAAAGTGTCAATTAGAATAGAAAATTGTGGAACAACCTTTTTACAATCTAAGTGCACTGAGTTGCTTGGCAATGTGCTGCCTCAGATTTTGTATCAAATCTCCGGACAATTCTGCTGTTCACATTTGAGCTATTTGGGAAAAATGTATTTTGGCACAGGGCAGTTGGTTTTCTTTTCAAAAACTAAAGGTCATCTTTCATGCTCTTACTAGTGTTACAGTTGCTTACAAGTTTGGGTTTTTCTTCAGTCTGAATGTTGTTCATCTCAAATCCCTTGGTACAGGGAAGCAGGTAATCAGGGGTTCTGTATCACATGGCCCTGGCTTCTCAGAATGATTCCATATCATCGTTTCTGTTCTGTCTTTCTGTGGATGACTCGGCTCCACTCAATTCCAGTACATGATGCACCTGTATGACATACAGTACTGGCACGTGATACTGCTATTATGAAATCATGATGGCAATGAAAGCTAGGCAAGACTGTCTGACAGCGGAGCAAGTACAAAGACGCCTCCACACCAGTGTCCAGAGAAAACAAACAAACAAACAAAGTAACTGAGTCTTCTGCTCTGAAAGAACTCTCTCTACATCCATAGCTGTACCCCTGACATGGCCTAGCACTCCTGTGGTTAGATTTTTTTTTCTGTTCCTATGCTAAGTTTAGCACTTTTTCTGTTTGAAACTCTTTTGCCATAAGGCATCAGTATTCAGACTTCATCAATCACTGGAAAACCTCTTCTGAGTTTCCTAAGATTGCATAGAGGAGAAATTTGCAAGCCAATGTCTAGATTACAAACCATGAAAAGAATGGAAGTCAGTTTAATTGAACAGAGCCTATATTAGAACAAGCTCCCTGGCATTAGGAGTATATTCTGTAGACTTGCATAATTTTCTAAATTTTCATTTTGAAACTTCTTTAACAACAACAACAACAAAAAACCTTCACCTGTGTTGTTAAATGTAGGTCAACTGTAGCTTTTGTTTATTTCAAGTGTTCATGTTACAGTCCTGCATGTGAAGCCTAATACACACCAGCTTTTCAAGAAAATCAGTTCCTGACGACAACTGCATTTAGATCCTGGGATGTGTGAAAGTGTATGTAAAGTTGACAGCATTTCTTTGATCGCTCGGGAGTTGTGTGAAAAGAGTGGTAATGCAAAATATATTTATACCTTTTTTCTCCTTTTTTGCTAAATTAAGACAACTTTGAACTAGGAAAAACATCCAGTATCTCTGAGGGCAGAGCACCCAATGCCATTAGAGACGGTGTAGAAGCTTTTGAATGTGGTAAAATCCTGTCACCAATAAATGACTTCAGACTGTTAAAATATGATATAATCTTGAGTTATTCTGCACCTGTAGACTGTTGTGTTTAGTTATCAGTGAGACGATTCATGAAGGTACAAGTGTTACGTGGACTGTCATCTTAATGAATATGCCACCTATGACCATGTGTATTGTGTGTTATTAGCATTCACAGGGCTTGACCCATGTGCAGAATGGTGACCAAAATGATGACATGCTAACCAAAACAGAATTGTTCAAATCAAGAGGGTTTTTTGAAGTTACTTTATTAAGTAGCCCTTTCTCCTTAAAAGGGAATAACCTGATCTGTCTTAAATATAAGCTAAATTTAAAATGGAACACTTATTAGCATGAAATATACATACATTGGAAGCATGTAAACACCTACTCATTTCTAATGTGATGTAGTGGAAGTGAACACCAGTGAGGACTCGTGACATTTCTTCCAGCATATTGCAAGTGGGGTAAACTAATGGATGTTGAAACAACAAGCCTCCCTTGGAAAGACCAGTAACTGCTGACTGATACAGTAATAATAGAAAGAGCCTGTACACGCTCAGAATTTAATGGCTTTTACAATTTAAGGGTCTCTAAAGTGTTATATATGCTATTGTATGTACAAGAGGTAAAGTGTTCCAGCCTTCAAAAATATATTTTTACTCAAAATTATGAATCATAGAGCCTGTTGGAAAAGTTAGAAAAGGGTCCATTTTCACTTGCTTGTAAAACAGATTCCCAACTAGAACAGAAGCGTCCTTACCAGAAACCATTATGGGCCCCAAAACAGTGTGGCATGAGTGAAGGGCAGTGCTTATGAATGATTCTTACACCCAGTCATTTGTTGCTGTCAGAAGATGAATCTGTGGAGAAATTAAACCCTTCAATCCCGCTCAATCATCAAACTCAAATTCTACTCAATACCTTGGAATTTGGAAATATGTCAAAAGTAAGTTGAATTCATTCCCTCACGCTGTCATTTGAATGTAAAAAGCATTATATAGAAGAAAGATGAACATGGCAAATAATAGTTTTGTACAATAGTCAGATGAACATCTTTTCAGTATAGTACAACTGTGAAATTGCTGTACAGCGTACAAAATTCAGAATGATGGCAATGTAAGTATATTAGTAAAATATCTTAAACTAATTTTAAATGAGTTTAAGTATTAAACAGCTTGTAGCTGCTGATTTTGAGTTCTTATGCTGTCATTTGGTACCATTTGCTGTCATCTGGTACTTCTAATGTGAATAGAAAGCTGCTATTGAAATACAACATATTGCGTATCACTACTGATTAATACAGCATTTTCACAAAAATAGCACAAACCATACAAGTTTTCATCCATCATAGAGAATAACTGCAATAGTTGTGTAAAAATAAACATTATCTCAAAATTACTATTTTCAGAATTGTGAAGACATAAAATGTATGTAGGCAACATTATTAATTTATTACTGTGCAATTTTGATGTAATTCAGTGTCAAAACACATTTTTTTCCAAATAGCACTAAAATGAGGCAAAGAAAGTAGTTTTCAAATTGCAACTTCACATTATAATGTAAACCAATTTCAGCATTTTTGGTTTGTTTCGTGTGAAAACTGTTGCACTATTTTTGGCTGTATTTTCCAGCAGACCACTGCATGCCATTTGTGTGAGGATTCTTTCTATAATTCTTGTGAACTGTCTCACCCATAATAACCCTGGCGTTGGAATCTAGGTTTTTGGCAAAGTATTTTGTTACCTCAGTCTTGTATGAAGTTGCTGTATTTTTCAGTTTGTTACATTGATAATGATTGTTTCACTAATTAAATACTTTAATGTAAAAAAAGTTTGTTTACTTCAACAGCAATTGCATTTGGTTGTAAGTTTAAAAATGTGCAGAATATATGTGCTGTTAACAATAAAATATTCTGAAAAAGAATAGTAAAGGTATAGAAGGAACATTTTAGCTCAAAAGCAGCGAGCATGTTTTATTTGTGAATGAATGGTAATACAGTTACAGCTGAACAGACTTTATAGTGCACAGTGTTTAACCATTCAATAGTATAGAATCCAAATTTCTAACAGAAAATTGAAAAACCCTCCAAATTTGCAATTCTTTTAAGTGGGATTTGGAAAGTCCAAAGAAGTAGAGACAAACCTATCCTATTGTTTTCCTAAGAAATTAATTTTATCACTGCCAAACTTGCATGTTGACTTGGATAGCAAGGTAAATTTCTTTGCACTTATAATTAAGCTTTATTTACATACTTGGATTCTTAACTCCACCCACTGAAATCAACAAGAAAAAATATTTCATCCACTAATAAAATTATCTGCCCTGCATTCCACTGTATATCAGTGTAGGCACATGTAATACTATCTTCTGGTATTGAAATCTGAGATTTCCGGTTCAGTCAGAACCGCGAAACACTGAGCACAGCTGGCAGGGATAGCCTAGCAATCAGATGTTCGGTAGAACTTGATCTTTTCCAAGAGGAACATGGAAATGTTGACCAGTGTCCATCTTCTTTGATAACTTCTCTTCTTACACATACTATTTTTCTCTCTATCCTCATGTGTAAGAAATCAGGAAAGGAAGGCACGAGACTGGCATGGATGTGTCAAGACCTGCTGGTCAAACTAAAGGGCAAGAAGGAAGTACACAAGCAGTGGAAGCAGGGACAGGTATCCTGGGAAGAGTATAGGGATGCTGCACGGTTGTGTAGGGGGGTCAAGGCACAGCTGGAGCTGAACTTGACAAGGTACACAAAGAATAATAATAAGGGCTTTCACAGGTATGTCAGCCAGAAAAGGCAAGTCAAAGAAAGCGTGTACACACACACTGAATGAACACAACTGGCAAACGCACAAGGAGAAGGCTGAGGTACTCAACAATTTTTTTGCCTCAGTCTTCACTGGCAATCCCTCTTCCCACACCTCTTGAGTGGAAAAGTTACGGAAGTCAGATGAAGTCCCCAGAGATTAGAACATAGCCCTTTCCTGAAATGGGCTCCTTTTCCTGTTATCCCCCAGAAACAGGAATACTGTTTCAACACTTTTTTTTTTTTTTTAATTACTTTTTAGTCATTACTTGGATCTATACAATTTTCCTTCAGGGTCGTGTCCAGTGCTTAATTGTAAATATTTTATAAGAAAGCATCAATAAGTGTCTCTTATATCTACCAAATGGTTCTTTTCACTGATAGCATCAGTTTAAATGGGAAATTGATTGGAATGCCTCTGTTTCCCATAGGCAGTAGGATAGAAGATAAACAAAGTGAGCACATCAGGAAGGAAAAGAAGCAATCACTATATTCCAGAATGCCATTATTGTCACAGAGGCAAATTGCAGGGGAGAAATAGTAGTCCTGCACTGCAGTATTTCACTATAAGGTAACATGCTTTTGTGATACAACACCCAAATTGCTCATTAAATGCTCATTATGTCCAAACCTCTTGTTTTCTAACCTGGGAGGGAAGAACCGAAATGAGATCTTTAATAAGTTTGTTCCTACTTCAGCTCTCAGGCTGTGCTAGGTATGTAAGTGACGGCACTGGTAAATGGCATTAATTTTTCTTCTGAAATCAGTAACAGCTGTTGTGTTCTTTCCATAGCTGTGATCTATTACTATGAATATTTGCTTATCAAGTTCTGAAAATACAACAGACTTTTCCTTAGGCGGAGTGTAAAGAAAAAAGAAGTCAAAGTTTACATGTCTCAGTAGACCTCAGATGTGAGAGCAAGTCAGATAAACATATTAGGGAGGATGAAAACACCCATTTTGCATCAACTAAAACAGTTGTGCATAAGAAAGTGCAGATAGTAATGACCTGGAGGAAGTATCAGCTTTTCAGCTTTAAGGAAGAGTCGATTGTGTTCCAAG